CCCCAAAACCCCAAAACCCCAAAACCCCATAAATTTGGAGGAAAGTTGAATAATTTATAAAAATGGAGGGCAAATTCCACTCAGAAGATTTTAGAGAAAAATTTAGGAGATCACTGTGATGCTACAGACCGGACATCAAGAGAAAAAGAGAGGAATTCATGGTCTCTCTGAGGAAGAAATAACAGGAAAGCTATATTCAACATTAAAAGAGGATTGCAAGCAGATAATGATGGTGAAGAAAATGACAAAGAAGTATGAGAAACTACTCTCAATGCTTATAAAGCACTAGGAATTGATAGAGCAGATGATCCAATAGATATTATTAAATTTGCTAAAACTATCCTGCACAATTCTCCAGCAGATCGCCAAAATGTCTTAGAGGTCATCCTTGATTTGATGTGCAATACTAATATTGAGGAAGGAGAAGATCGAAGAGTGAATATGAAAAGGATTTCAGCAGAGTTTATCTCTCCCAATATCGTGCAGAATATAAAAGGCTGTATTAACAAGAAAAAACCAGAACTATGACTGATAGCTTTAAAGGTACTTCGGATATCATTACACTCAGGAGCCTTTTGTGAAAAGAGTTTTAATACTTTTGTGACATCTGGGTTATTAAATGACATCCTCGATATTTTAGAAATCTGAGACGATATTAGAACAAAAATGCAACTGATCAATGCAGCCATAGACTGAATTATTGCTGCCGCTATTAGTTGATTGTTTGTACTGAAGTCAATTCAAAACAGAGGAATATTCTTGAAACTCTTTGATTTATCAGAGAGGTTTACAGACCAAGAGATACAAAGATATTTTCCTAACTTCTATACCTGTATTTGAGCAGTGACTGATAAATTAGTCGCTGTGAATTGTCATTATGATATTAAAAAGATTTCAAGAATCTTAATCTTTCAGCTTGATACTATCATCAAGCCAGAAGAAAAAGTACCTCTACAGTTTGATGAAGAGGATTGTAAGCAGAGAGTTTCCCAAGAAATGATGGCACACCAGATATTGAGGTCAATCTTTAACATTACAAAAGCTGATGTAAAATTATGAGAGCTGTACCTTGAAGTAGAAGAGTTTAAGATAATCCTACTGAAATGTTTATCCTCATGCAAAGATTCTATTGTAATTCCATCCTTGCAGATCGCTTCAAATATGAGTATGCCAAACTTTGAATTTGATATCATAAGTTACTTGATAGACCATGGATTATTAGAAAAGTTGAAAGACTATATTAGCCATCCAAACGAGATCCTACGTAAAGATTTCCAGCTTCTTTTCTATAATATTCTTGTACAATGACCAACAGTTTACCAGGAAATATGTGAAAAGGGAGAACTGAGAAAAATAATCCTTGACCTTATGCAAAGTGAAAGCATTTCAGATAGATATGAAGGGGCTCAACTCTTTAATATGATACTAATAAAAGGAATGTGGAATCTGGAAGATGTAGAAATAATGGGTAAGGATTATCTTACCATTCTCACAAAGGAACATGAAGAATCTCGGGTTCAGATTACTAAAATTATGGAGGATGATTTCTTTGCCAAATTTATTGAGTCCCTTGAAGAGCCGATCATTCCACCTCAATATATTGAAGAAAGCATAACTATTCTTGAGAATATCATGGAATATTATAAAAACAGTGAAATGTACCAACAAATTATTGATTATTTCAGAGAACTGGGAGGTGAAGAAATAATGGGAAAGTATCTACTCTCTCCAAATAAGAACCTCGCTAGTTGTTATTCAAATACATCCCTCAAGATCCAGCATTTCCTTGAAAGGTACATGGACTACGAGCCCTTTGATCCCATTGAGACTAAGAGTGATGAAATGGATATTACTGAAATATGTGAAACTATTTGCTCTCTCTAAATTACCTATAAATTTCAAGTCATATTAGATCTAAGGGGTTTTGGGGTTTTGGGGTTTTGGGGTTTTGGGG